CACCAATCAAACGGAGCCTAATTTATCATTCCCGTCTCCTCACCTTTTCCGCCTCTCCCTCCCTCTCCACCCAGCGACTATCGATTGTCAGCGTTCTCCCTCCTCTCCTTTCCTTCCCTCCCGTCTCCACCCAGCGACGCTACTGTGATAGTAGCGTCGTGCGCGACTGCTGGCGTCGTCATACCAGTGAGAACATCACCGCCATCGCAGATCATGGGGGGCTGCAGATTGTGGTTCTTTCCTCCATTTTTTCTTCGGTAAGTGCTATGCTGCTCCAAATTAGCTCCAGATTGTACGTGGCATGGGGGATTTTGTGGAGTTTTCTTGAAATAAGAACTCATTTTCTCGTGAGTTCACTGGTGATTAGCTGGTCAATTAATGAAATCATTCGATATTCGTTTTTTGGTTTGAAGGAAGCTTTTGGTTCTGCTCCATTGTGGCTGTGATAATAAAGTTGGTGGTCTGGGGGAGGAGGTGGCAGTGGTGGTGAAGAGCGGAGACGATCAGGCATAGAAAAGCCGCCGGTGAAGAGCGGAGACGATCTCCACTAGTGAAGCCCTCTTATCGGTGGCAATCTCCGAGTGTTATTTGTCAAGCCCAGTGAAGCCCTCTCCTCGGCGGTGATCTCCACCAGTGAAGCCTCTCCTTGGCGGCGATCTGTGACCGAATATGAACCGCCGGTTGTTATTTGTGATAGAGAGAAGGGAGAGAATGGAGAAAAGAGAGAAAATAAGGTCAAATGATTAGGGTTTGGAATAATTGGGTGGAAATATTTAATATTTAATTATTATATTGATACCTGATTTATGAATAATGAAACTTTAGACTTGATTTTTGTATTGTGATCTTTAAACACCTAGTATTGTATAATTTCCTCTAGAATATAAAGTAAAACAAACACAAAATTATTGAATACGTAACTGAACCATTTATAACGCATACCGTTTTGGGTCATGGACTCTCAGTTTCACCTCAAATATAGTTAAAATTTGTTTTCGTTAATTTTCTTGTGATACAAGGGAACATAAAATGAAACAAACATAAAATTAATTAAAACGGCACTCATCATTAAAAATAGACGACATACCATTTTGTTGTTAGTTTTTAATTGGGTATGATAAATAATGAAAGTGGGGTTTTTCAGTTTATCACTTTCATAAAGATTACATATCAAGTGGCTGAGGAAATTCATCCTTTTTCTTGATATCAAGTATATCTTGTTGTGTCCAATAGTGAACATAATTGTAATTTGTGATGCTTTGTTTTATCTATTAGTAAATAGTGTTTTATGAATTTCAAATTGACCGTCCATTGCATATTTGAATAAGCGATTAAAAGTTATCGATCATTTTGTAATATTATATAAGTTATATACTTGCATAGATAGAGAAGTACAAAAGACATAATTTTGATCAAGAAGGGTTTATTCTAGATTAACTTATAGATGTTGGTACTCTATCTAGATCAAAAGATTAAACACACAATTTGTTTTGACCGGGGAGATTTTTTCGTTTGAGAGTAATGATGGTTAAACACCTGGAAGTATATTGGATTGGACCAAGTAAAGTTTTGATAAATTTATAACGGATCGTGCTAAGAATTTGATTGCGTGTGACTATATTATGGATTAAATAAATATTACGTAATAACTAAAGTGATTTTTATTCATAAATTTGAGGTTTTTTGATATGTCAATGAGTTAGATCATTCAATTATGATCATTATGTTGGTATGTTGGAAGTCTATAGGAATTGATAGTGAACAATATTCATGTTCGAAATTTATCACCTTGTTTGATTGGTCATGAGTCCACTTGAGTATTTTCTTCATAGGATAATTTCAATTTGAGCTTGGTATTTGGGAATGCATGAATCCTTAATTTCGTAATCGTATCTTGAAAAAACTATTTAAGAAATACAAAAGCCAAGTGTGAAAAAATTAGAAAGTTAAAGTGGTTATTTAGTCTTGATCTAATTATTCGACGTTCGAAGGGATAATACATATAGATGACAAGTCGAGAGGATATAAATTGTAGGAAATTAATTTATAATAATTTAAGATTTTGATATCACTCCTTTAGTGAAAAATGATAATAATTACATTGAACAGTCTTGTATTGACTTGATTGGATACAATTATTACAGCTTAAATTATACCAATCAGGNTGGATACAATTATTACAGCTTAAATTATACCAATCAGGTCCCTTTGGTAGTTTCAGTAAAAGTTTTAAACTTAATTATATTAGTAATAAAAATTGAGGAGTGAAGATTGGTCAGAACAATAAAATAAAACAAGATCAATGTTTATAAATTGAGGAGCTTTTTTCCTTATTCTGATCCATAATTTTGATTTGTTCTTGGACCAACTATAGTTTATAATATGGAGAATACCATATAACATCTAGCTATTGAAAGTTTGAAGATGCAAAAAGGAGTTAAAGCGGTTGTTGTCGAGCCAATAATTCAGATTCAAAGTTCAATTACGCTTCGAAGGTAATTCCCGCAATCTTTTGTGTGATTGATGTCTAATTGTTTAGTAAAGATTTTGGATCAAAATTTGTAAAAAATTTAAACTTTTGTCAGTTGCTAGACATTTCAAATGCGACACGTTTAAGATATTTTTTCCTCTTGAAAATCCTCCAAGTTCATGAACGTGATTTTTTCTTAACATTGTGTCATTTTCTATTATCTTCGTGTCCATCTTATCATTGGTTGTTATTTTTTAGGAACTTTTTATCATTCGTTAGCAGTTTAGGGACCAATTTTGCAATTTTAATTAATGTTAGGACTTAGGGCTAGGTTTTAAGGGGCATTCATCCACTGTTATGTCGGTTTTGAATTGAGCAAAAATGGTTGTGAGAGAGGGTGGAGGAAAAAAAAAAATCAAAAAACTGATCAAACCAAGCAAATCAAATTGAGTCGGATGAGTTCGGTCGGTTTGAATCAAAAAATTGGTTTGATTTTGTTAATTTTAACCATTAAAAAGTTGGATCGAATTGATTGAGGTTTAAGCAACCAACCGTCAGTTCGTCGACCTAACCCAAATAAAATAATAAATATATAAATATAATTCTTTTTCAAATAATTTGTTAACCGTTTACGCTTTCTCTACCAAAATCTCAAATCCAAATGAAAAGAAAGAAAAGGAGAAGAATTATTTATTGTAAACTCTAAATTTAGATTATAGCCTTACTTTTCATTTTGATGTAATTGTTTCTTAGTAACTATCGGATATATAAGATGTTTTTGGAAAATCGATCATTTACCATGCAAAAAAAATAAAAAAATCTATATACATAGGCAAGCAAATTTTGTAACTTTGGATAGACAATTTTTTTTTTTTTTTAAACTCGAACAAATGTTTAAACTGGCCTCAACAGATTTGGTTTGAATAGGTTCGATTTCAATAGTTGAATTGGGTTGGAATTTATCCAAGTCAGTTTCAATTTCTAGTTGAGCTCTAAACTAACCCAACTCGAACCATGCCCAGATCTATGTGAGAGGGTCTTTTTTTCATTATTTTCCTTCTAAATTTTTTTCAATGAACATTTTGTGTTATCTGATGTTTTTACGCTTTCACTACATCGCAATTGCAACACGTTGATGGTTATTTTAACATTTTGATTTCTCTCAATAGTAAATCATAACAAGAGTATTTTGGAATTAAAAATATATTCGAAGACGATTATTACATGCATTCTAGCACCTATTTGAGTCCCATTTTTTTGATAAAAATACATTTTGGAATAATAGATTGATGGAGAATGTGTGGTTAAAAAATAAAGAAAAATTTTGAATTTGCATGTAATATTTTTTATTGAAAAATATGTAGTTGAAAAGACGAGAAAAATGTATTATAAAAATAATGGGGATCAAACAATGGTCTAATAAAGATTTAAATATATCATTATCTTGATAAGATTAATTAATGTAGAAAATTTCCCACAATTTTAAAATAATAAAAAAAATCATATTTTTGAGAAGATCATAATAAAATCTACAACCTGAAAAGTGAGTGTTTGTCACTAAAAGAACACCACAAACATACTGAGTAATTAGTACAAAACGTCCTTATTGTATGCACTCATTGTGCAAATTGTTTTTATTATTTCACACTTGGCATTTGCGTCCTTATTTTAACCTTTTCTTGCTTAGTTGGTCTTTTTCGTCTCATTTCATCATTTCCTTGTGTCAAGTATGGGTAATAAACACAAAACATTCATATTGTTTGTTATCATAGCATAAATCGTCCCTAACGTTTTAATTTGGGCATTTTGATACACAGATCAACCTTTCTTTATATAAAAGGTTTTTACTGTCTATTTTCTTCATTAAAATATTGTAAAATAATTAATTTACCCCTTCTTGAAATAAACAAATAGAAAAAAAAAATGAATATGAAAAAAGACTTGTAACTGGAGTTACAAGTTTTTTTTCTAAGTACAAACGAGTCTCATGTAAGTTACTATTTTTTTACACATTTCAAGGGTTCACAAGTACAACTCTTTTATTCATCATTAATTTTTATGTATTTATAATTTGAATTTTTTATAA